GGGGGGGGGACAGGGAAGACACCAATGACCTGAAACATTTCCTTGGGTCTGAAAGCCAGGGAATGCTCAAGGAGTGATGAGAACAAGTGGAAAAATGCAGCTTGAAGGGCTCCCGCTGAATAAATCTGGGGCACTCGGAGCATCATCATTAAAATTGGGGGTAACAGCCCCGGCCACTGCGGCTCAGTCGGTTAGGTGCTGTCCCTTGTACCAAAGGGTTGCCGGTTGGATTCCTGGTCTGACAGATGAAACATCTCACATCGATGTTTCTCTCCCTTCCTGTCTCTGTAAAAACCAATAAATTATTATTTTTTTAATTGGGGGTAACAGATCACAATCCTTTCAATAAAATAAGCATCCACGAGTCCCTGTAGATATAGGTAAATGGACAAATGGAAAATTTGGTGGAGAAATGTGAGTTTTTACGTTGTATCATAAAACTTATGACTCAAAAAGAACAAAAGTATCTTGACCGTGGAATGGCCTTGTTTGTAAGGACACACCCGCTATGATATTCAGGGATAATACTCAGAATAAAGCACCAGGTTGGCAATTTACTCTCAAAATGGGTGCAGAGGGGGGAAAAAGTTCTTTGCAACTTTCTTGTTAGTTTGCGATTGTTTAAAAAAAAATTAATAAAAAAGGAATGGCCTGCATATGTGATCGCCTTCACAACGTCCGTTCCTCCCCTCCCTGCCCCAGCAATAGTTTGGGTTGGACTGACAGCCTCCAAACTCCTAGCTCCAGCGTGAATGGCTTAAACTAATCAACCCCACCCCTTTGCCACATTGATTGGCTCAGAAATGGTCACCCATTCACCAGGGCCTAAGCCAATCAGTGCCCTCGGTCTCCCTAATCAAGAGACTGGTTAAGGGCTGGACACTGAACTCGTTAGTCCAATTTGAATGAAGCTCTGGATTTTTGTGACTACTTGCTAGGAGGACACCTTTTCCCCCTAGATGTGAGAACCTTGGAGAAAAGCCATTCTGAGGATGAATTCTGCATCCCGAGGAAGCTTGAGCTCAGAGAGTCACCGAGAAAACATGCCATTGTCCCAATGCCATCATGTGCCTCTAGATCAAACTATGCCTGACAGTTACTCACTCTGAAACTTTATTTAACTTTTTAATTGAAATACAACCTATGTAATAAAGAGCACACAAATTAGAAAAGTGAATGGCAGAGCCAGACTTCTTTCCTCAGCTCTTTGATAGAGATTTCTCTGAAGTCTTATTATGGAGTTAAAAATTCACAT